GTTTCCTGGAAACGATGTGCAACAGGGTTTGAGATGTGTTTTCTCTTGTTTAGTGGGTGTGTCAAAATGTCAGCCCATTCAGCAGCAGCATGTATATAAACCACTCGGTATTAAAGAGACAGCTCGCACAATGTAATTAACATTAAAAAAAAATTCACAAGAGCAAGTATATTGTTTGCACATGTTTATTTACATTAAAGGCAAAATAACGGAAATAATAAGAGCACATGTATAGATCTGGAACTTCTTTAAGTCTGTCTAAATATCATTTAGTAATCGCAATGTCTTCTGGTCCATATCCTTTCCTTAATGTAACAAAAATACTATACATATTTTGATATATTTTGCTATTGTATTGTGGAGCGACACTTTCATAATCTTTTCTATTTAACACGTATTTTACACATTTATACCGATTTCATCAGGCTCCGAAAATTCTTAAAAAAAAAACCCCACAAAGAATGGCCTTCTCAGCTGCCATAGTTGCAACTCTTGCGTCATCAGAACAGTGTGTTCAACACACCACCATTTCAGTTTAAAAAAAACGTTTTGTCGGGGCTGAACGCAGCCCTGGGCGCAAGAGTTGCAACTATGGTAGCTGAGAAGGCCATTCTTTGTGTTCTTTTTGAAGAATTTTTGGAGCCTGATGAAATCGGTATAAATACGTGTTTAATACTGCAAAATACACTCAATGTTACAGTCACTGCCCTCGCCGTACAGAATAAAAGAGAACATCCCAATCGAGTGAAGGGATTTGTGGAAACTGTGGTTCCTAATTATTGTGATCCAACATTTGCCTCGCATTTCAGGAAGAAAAGACAAACATTTCAGGTGAAGGATAATCCACTTCTTACCTCCGAGACTGTGTTATGATCTATACAACCTTATTATTTTTATTGTGAGTATTCGGCTTATCATTATTGCTGATCACTGTTGTTGTGTTATGATATTGTAATATTTACCATTATATAATCAGAGTATAGAAAAGTTTATGAAAGTGTGACTCCACAATGCAATAGCAAAATATATAAATATGTATAGTATTTTTATGTTACATCAATCAGAGTCTTGCACACCTTCCTAAGGAAAGGATATGGACCAGAAGACATTGCAATTACTAAATGATATTTAGACAAACTTAAAGAAGTTCCAGATCTATACATGTGCTCTTATTATTTCAGTTATTTTGCCTTTAATGTAAATAATCATGTGCAAACAATATACTTGCTCTTGTGAATTTATTTTGATGTTAATTACATTGTGCGAGATGTCTCTTTAATACCGCATGGTTTATATACATGCTGCTGCTGATTGGGCTGACGTTTTTGACACACCCACCAAACAAGAAAAAACGTATCTCAAACCCCCTTGCACACCGTTTCCAGGAAACATGTCGATCAACCCAGAAACCGTAGCAAAACGGTGCACACCGGTTTGAGCTTGAACTTGCCCCAGGTTTCACTTTAGAAACTGCGCATATAGTGGTTTCCCCGGTAACCGCAGTACACAAAGCTGACGTGCAGCGCTCAAGTTTATTCAGCGAAATCGTAGCCTTTTGAAGTTTAATCGTCATATTAATCCATATAGCAATTCTTGTCTTTCCGTCCCCAAAGACCTCTTATAATTTAGACTTTTTGTACCATTTAAGAGTTTGTTTACATTTAAGGCCATGCAATTTAACTGAAGCCGTATTAAGGACCCACGGAAACCCTAATAAGAACATAGTCCAGTGCAAACATTTCTGTCATGCATTTGGCAAAAAGCTTTTTGACTATGAATTTTACCTTTGAAATTTGAGGCAAGTGCAACTCTGGCGTCCCCGTTATTTGTGAGCAGTGGTGTGATGGCGATTTAAATAAAATACAGATTCCCAAACAATACAAACATATGGGTATCCCCTTGAACTTGGTAAAAAGATCATCTGTTTACCATCTTGACTTGAAAATACTGTTTTCATGTTCAGTTTTTCCATTTATTATTTGCTAATGTTAATGAATGTTTACATTAGCGTGCATGTCCTACTACGCTGAAATTAATAGGGGAGCGGCTGGAAACTAGCGACCTCTCCTGGTTGGAGATAGTATTAACATCATAAACTGAAAGCAATCTTTACGTGACTTGCTTTTCAGATGTTTTAAAATGTATCATCCGAGTCTAATATGATCCAGCGGGCCGTACTAAAAGACACTGCGTACACGGCCCGCTGCCAGTTGCCCATCCCTGTATTAGAGCATCAACTAAATGCACACAAGTTTAGCATTTTCTATCAAAGCACAGCATGTTCCAAAGTTCCCAGCAACTTAGAGGAACTAAAATATATCCCAAACAAGTTCTTGATTAACAACTACACCCATGAAAAACAGTCTGTAATGAAAGTGTCGTAGAGAATGCAGGGCAGATGAAGTGTAATTGAGGGCAGCTGTGATGGTGCGGCAGTTTGAGGCTCGCTGGAGAAGGACAGGCTGCAGTGTCCTGGTTAGCAGTCCCAGATAAAGCAGCACTCAGAGGAGCAAGAGCAACCCGCCTCCTTCCTCTGAAATGGGTCAGAACCTTCATTTCCATGGCAAATAGAACAAGTGCTGCCGAATGCAAACTCAAAATATAGTGCATACAGAGATCTCATTAGAATGATGTATTCAGAAGCTTCTGACCAGTTTTATTTGAAGAAGCACTAACATTGTGTCCTAACCAGGCACAACAACATGCAATTTGCCTGTTCACGATGAACATGGAAATGATGCGCAGCATGACATTTAGAGGTTTATTTGCCCAATAAACAAGCCCCAAGTTTATTTGTATAGCATGTTTCCCAAACATCAAAAGTTTCAGTTTCAGTTTCATTTTAAATAAATTTGATTAGGCCTGACATTGATAATAAATTGAGTTTATAATGAATGCCACTAGAATTTGTTTGCTTTGATCTTATATTTCTCAGATTTTCTCATTCCTGTTCTGTTCTGTACACTGTAAAGGATTTGTTGTGGAGTGAGGGGAACTGAATTACATGTTTATGTTTACTAATATTTTACATTATTTCTCAATTTAATAATAAAAAGTTAATTTTAACATTTATAAAAATAGACCAATTCCATTATTTATTTTCTCTCAAAAATTCAATTCTGACTCGGAGTGACATAGTGGTCAGGTGCGATTTATTTTCCGGATAATATGGTAATATTATTTCATATTAATCCATATAGCAATTCTTGTCTTTCCGTCCCCAAAGACCTCTTATAATTTAGACTTTTTGTACCATTTAAGAGTTTGTTTACATTTAAGGCCATGCAATTTAACTGAAGCCGTATTAAGGACCCACGGAAACCCTAATAAGAACATAGTCCAGTGCAAACATTTCTGTCATGCATTTGGCAAAAAGCTTTTTGACTATGAATTTTACCTTTGAAATTTGAGGCAAGTGCAACTCTGGCGTCCCCGTTATTTGTGAGCAGTGGTGTGATGGCGATTTAAATAAAATACAGATTCCCAAACAATACAAACATATGGGTATCCCCTTGAACTTGGTAAAAAGATCATCTGTTTACCATCTTGACTTGAAAATACTGTTTTCATGTTCAGTTTTTCCATTTATTATTTGCTAATGTTAATGAATGTTTACATTAGCGTGCATGTCCTACTACGCTGAAATTAATAGGGGAGCGGCTGGAAACTAGCGACCTCTCCTGGTTGGAGATAGTATTAACATCATAAACTGAAAGCAATCTTTACGTGACTTGCTTTTCAGATGTTTTAAAATGTATCATCCGAGTCTAATATGATCCAGCGGGCCGTAGTAAAAGACACTGCGTACACGGCCCGCTGCCAGTTGCCCATCCCTGTATTAGAGCATCAACTAAATGCACACAAGTTTAGCATTTTCTATCAAAGCACAGCATGTTCCAAAGTTCCCAGCAACTTAGAGGAACTAAAATATATCCCAAACAAGTTCTTGATTAACAACTACACCCATGAAAAACAGTCTGTAATGAAAGTGTCGTAGAGAATGCAGGGCAGATGAAGTGTAATTGAGGGCAGCTGTGATGGTGCGGCAGTTTGAGGCTCGCTGGAGAAGGACAGGCTGCAGTGTCCTGGTTAGCAGTCCCAGATAAAGCAGCACTCAGAGGAGCAAGAGCAACCCGCCTCCTTCCTCTGAAATGGGTCAGAACCTTCATTTCCATGGCAAATAGAACAAGTGCTGCCGAATGCAAACTCAAAATATAGTGCATACAGAGATCTCATTAGAATGATGTATTCAGAAGCTTCTGACCAGTTTTATTTGAAGAAGCACTAACATTGTGTCCTAACCAGGCACAACAACATGCAATTTGCCTGTTCACGATGAACATGGAAATGATGCGCAGCATGACATTTAGAGGTTTATTTGCCCAATAAACAAGCCCCAAGTTTATTTGTATAGCATGTTTCCCAAACATCAAAAGTTTCAGTTTCAGTTTCATTTTAAATAAATTTGATTAGGCCTGACATTGATAATAAATTGAGTTTATAATGAATGCCACTAGAATTTGTTTGCTTTGATCTTATATTTCTCAGATTTTCTCATTCCTGTTCTGTTCTGTACACTGTAAAGGATTTGTTGTGGAGTGAGGGGAACTGAATTACATGTTTATGTTTACTAATATTTTACATTATTTCTCAATTTAATAATAAAAAGTTAATTTTAACATTTATAAAAATAGACCAATTCCATTATTTATTTTCTCTCAAAAATTCAATTCTGACTCGGAGTGACATAGTGGTCAGGTGCGATTTATTTTCCGGATAATATGGTAAAATTATCATCTATGTGGAGCAGGATTTTGGACCAATGAGATTTCACTGTGGGTGGGGCTTGTAAGCACAATGGCGCATTCATTAATACCAAGCAACCAAGAAAATGTTTCGGGCACTTGCTGCTTTGATCAACAGTTGCTTTACTGTGTTGCGACCTGGTTAGGAAACACATAAAACAAACAAATAAAAATGCAAAAACGGTCAAATCTTACCAGTTGTAGTATATCTTCATCTTTTGGCATCACACACAACTCCAAAAATGTATGACTGGAAGTGGAAATAAATATTTAGGGCCACAATCAGACATGTATCAGGACACATCTAAATGAATTCTAACGCACTCTCACCTGTTCTGGATGAGCCCTATGACCTGCGAGTACGTCTTCCCAATGATGCTCTCGCCGTTCACTTTCACTATCCTGTCCCCTGTTGATAAAGTTAAATTACCAGGTTTTTGATTATCAGACATCGATAAGCAAAACGAAACGGTGTGCTGTACATTTGTAATGATGGTGTAATTACCAGTGCAGAGTCCGGCGCTGTGAGCAGGCCCTCCCTCTTTGACCTGCTTCACAAAGATCGTGTCCATGGGCTCCAGTCTGTTCCGCGGTCTCCCTGGCAACAACAAAAGCAGCAGAGTCACGAGTGGCCCAGATCACAACAAACCAGCTCCGGGAAGTAGCGAGCGGTCACAAGATTGAGCCACAATAAATATTTTAATCACACCAGTTTTTCAAATTAAACATTTAACCCATTAATAGAGCAGCAATGCTTGGACTTCATCTGGAAGTGACCCATCATTCAATGTGACATCCCTCAGTCCCTGAGGGAGTGCTATACTTGGCTTCATCCTGACATAGTATGCCAGAACACAGATCTAACAGTGAACAGCTAACACCACAGATTCCCTGAGGATGACAGCTATGAGATGCTTAGGTCCATGTCTACTTGCACTGAAAGGAATGAGGATCTCTCCACAACAGCCCATTATTTTGTTCAATATCTCTCTGTTGGCCTGTTGAATGGGAAATAAACCTGTGGATTCTGCATAATGCATACACCATCCAAAGTCGCATGCTAAATCTCTCTTTGAGGCTGCAAAAAATATTAAACAGGCCACTCAACCTCATTAATTAGCTACTATGGTTTTGATCTTGATCTGTTCCTAATTACAATTTGTTTTTCACAGCCATTCCATTTGTTCAGACAGTTAATATCCGCTATATCCACATTGGTTGCTATAGTAATAATGTCAGCACAATGCTAAGAGTGTGTTAAAATAGACACAGCAACACACACAGCAGCACAATGCGGGTGACATTACAAACACTTTAGAATAGGGAAGCTATTCACCACCAACTAGTTGCTTATTAGCATTCTGGCTGTTTATTAGTACTTATAAAACACTATTAATGCTTTATAATGCTTTACTTACAATCAATAAGCAGCAAATTAGGAGCTAAAATCGGTTTAGCTCTCTTTCTATATGGACACACACATATACATAGCTTTGAAATTCTGCTTAGCGATAATGTATTTGGGGAAGAATGGACAATTACTACATTCACGGATTCATTAACCTCAAACACGTTGCTAATGATCAAATGGTTTCTGATTTCAGGCAACAAAATAGAATTACTATTAGGCCTGGACAATAAAACGGTATCGATATTTATCGACGGTACACCTTCATCGATAACGATTTAAAAAATGTTCGATATAGTGCACAATATAGGCATGTACTATGAGTGACGCAGACAGCACACACACAAACACATGCTGAAATGAGTGCTGTGCCTGCCTGTGATGAGGAGATTGTGAATAAAGAATGAATATTAGTCGAATTTAAAATAAACATTTGCATTTGAATGTTAGGTGTGCATCATCAGTGGCGCACAAGATGCGGTGATAATGATGTAAGTGACGTTGTTGCATTTTAATGTTTTGTTAGTCTTGCACCACGAGACGCACGGCTGCGGAGTTATTCATTCAAAATATTAGAGAAATATAGAAGCTCAATGCGGAGAAGATCCAGATTAGGTTAAAACCGAAACCAAGCCATTCACACAGAACGCATATTCAGCACATTTTTTTAGACGGACAAATATGACTGCTGCACTCGCGTCTCACAGAAGAGATGTATAGAAAGCCATGCAAAGTTAAAACAGTTTAAACTTTTAGAAAACACGTCACGAATTTGTGGAGGTTTATTCCTTTTCACTGCGTCCCTTATGTTTTTAAATGCAATCTGCGTGATGGGCGATTTGGCTTTTTGTATTAAGCAATGCATAAATACATGATACCGTTTTGTTCATAATGGTTTATGCAATTTCCGAAATTATATTTGATTTATATGAGTTAATTTACACGTAATGCACGTTTTTTTATAGACAGTTATTTCCATGCGTTGACATTATGTGCTGCATTATTTTGCTCATTGCGCCCTCCTGTGGCCTCGGGAGACAAGACAAAAGTTTCCTTAAAACCTATTTAATCTGCATATAAGACATTAGAAATTAGATATTGGTTTAATTTTTAATGTGTGTTTGACTGTTAAAACAAAAAAATATTTGTTGTTTGTCTCAATAAATTGGGTTAATTTTAGTGGTTTCTATTGCTCTTTTTAAAAAAGGTTAGGGTTTGGTTAGTTAATTAGATACCGAATTATATGAAACATTATTATCGTTGATAAATTTTTTGCTATATTGCCCAGACCTAATTACTATTATATTATATTCACATTTATTGCACCAACTTTGCTGCCCTTGTTATCTCTCCTATATAACATTATTTTAAATATTAAGCAGCACAACTGTATTCAACATTGATAATATGATAATAATAAATGTTTCTTGAGCAGCAAATCGGCAGATTAGGCTATGTTTACACGACAATGGTGCACGTAGAATGGTGGAAACGTAGACCCGATCAGGCTACAATAGTCCAAATATAAGTACTTATTATAAGTGTACCTTAGTGATTCGGAATAAGACAAAAACGCGGTTTGGAAGATGACTTCATGATGTACTCGCTCATTATATACATTTTGCAAATTTTGAACACAGAAAAAGTTACAAAGTGCTGCTTTAAAATTGACACGTACTGCGCATGTCTTACATACCTAACACGTACTTCGCACGCACATGACGTCACCGTTTTCAAAGATTCCCGTATTGAGTGTTTACATAGAAACAACAACGGTGGCGTTTTCAAAACCTTGAAAAAGCCGTTTTCAAAAATATGCGTTTTCAGTCCCCAAAACGCCATTGTCGTGCAAACGCACAGTCAAAACGCATTAAAAGTTTCCCGTTTTTGGCTGAAAAAGTCATGTAAACGGCCCCTTAGAATGATTTCTGAAGGATCATGTGACACTGAAGACTGGAGTAATGATGCATCTTTGCATCACAGGAACAAATTTCATTTAAAAACATATTTAAATAGAAAACAATTATTTTTCATTTTAAATAATATTTCACAATATTACAGTTTGTACTGTATTTTTCATCAAAACAAAATACAAAAAATAAAATAATAAAAGACTTTCAAAAACATTAAAGAAAACCCACCCCCAACTGTACACTACAAATGAATCAAACAAAAACTGACTTTGCTACCTGTTTGATCAAAGTCTTAGATAAACAGCTGTTCCCATATCGTGATACGTATCGGATCGTGGCCTCTGTATCGGGATATGTATCGCAGGGCACCAACTCAAACAAACCCACTTGGCATATGGCTGTTTTAACTGCTTTCAGTCTTTTCTGAAATTTAAGAATGGAAGATCTGAGATCAGTTAAAAGAGTGCAGTTGAGCTGCAGGTGCATGTGTAAATCAGCCTTTAGAGACCATAAACTGCTTCAACATTTGGAAAAGGGAAATACCGAGGAGATCGTCAAGAACATTTCTGTCACTGCATAATGTCCCATACCAGGTGATGACATCCTCGTAAAACTGTAATGGCTCCAGTCTCCAGACAGGACTGAGTGTGCTACAGGTCACAATTGTGTTTCGTTTTTTTTTTCTTGAGGTCTTGCCTGTAGAGATTGCTGCAATGCTTCGAAGCCTGAGGCATGATATTCATACTTTGCAAATGTGAAGAGCACAGACATCAACACGGAGTATAAATAAACCAGACAGCAGCAAATATTATGTAGCTTTGTTGTAGTTTGAGATCCAGTTAAGTCGTGAGGGAATTCTATTTATACAGACAATTTGCATACTATGCACAGTACATATTGCAAATAAATACCATGATAATACTATGCTTACAGCCCTGCTTCTCTAGCAATATGAAGCTTTTGTAAAGATTTAATGTGCCCTCTTGTGTTCACTGTCATACACTGCAGTTGTCAAACATAAAAACACATTTACCTCAGGAATATGAAGAAATGCACCCAATACTGCTAATGTTTTTAGCATTTGGCACATAATTCATATTCATAGTAATAACATCACACAAACCAAAAAATGTGTTCAGGTATCAGAAATAACAAAACACTCAAAATAGTAATGCACCGCTGATGATAAATGAAATTAATCCTAATGATTGCTTTGCCACAACCACATGAGAAGTGAAATTTGACATAGACGTATGTCAGTTATGCAATATGTACACTGGAGTTCAAGTTTCTTTCTGTTGCTGAGAACATGAAACGAGGACAATGACAACGGCAACATGGCAAAATACAGACACAAATGATTCTATATACAGGTTAATAAAAACAACCTAAAACCAGCAAAGAAATTCACAACTACAAACCTGTAACCACATTTTCAGGCAGATAAAAAACAGGCCTGGAACATGAACATTTCTGGTTCTCGCATACCATGCAAATAGAATACTTTACTATTACGTATGCTGATGTAAGTTTTTTTGTCTTACTATGTTTTGCATACAAAACCAGAGGCACTTTAGTGATGTTATACAAGACTCGTGAGCTAGTTTGGACTCTTCTAGGTAATGTAAATCAAGTTTTATAGTGCTATGCTCTCTTATAAGCTAGAGATTGTTCAGAAGATAAAATACGTTTTTATATTTGTGCTGCATAGAATATAATGAACCACAATAGCAGTTCCTGTTTCAATTCCATGCTTTTCAATGACCAAAGTAAAAGCATGCAGTGGATTCAAATCCTTAAACCTTGGCAGCTACAAAAGAAAAAGTGAACTGGAAACAGTTTATGCTATAAACGTGAGAAGAGATGTGACATCACTTCTCTTTTACACAGCTCTACATTGTAGCATTATGCTGGATTAGTCTATTTTAAAGAAACCCTGAAATATGTAGGTCAGATACTTGCATGACACACCGACTCAAACACGCAGAAGAGCATTTAACAATGTTTGTGCACCACAACAGGCCAGAGATAATGACTAAGAATTCACAGACCTACAGCTCAGTATGAATCTCCTCTGAGCAAAGTGGGGCATGATTTGAGGGCCCAGTGATGGAATATAGCAGTGATCTTTTTGGAGAGATGCTGGATTCGGACATTCATTCCTGAACTATTATATCCTGCACCTGGCAAATCTTAACATTCTTCCACTATCAATAAAACAAAAAATTTCCAAACAGATGTTCTTTCCCTCCTCATGTTCTTCATTCTTTATCAAGAATGTGATTTGTTCTATTCAGTGTGGTTTGTTAAAATGCCACGAGCATTACAACCTCACTATAATTTAAAACGAACAAATCTATGTAGGTCACAGTTTGTTATCTGCACTGTAATGAAGTCAAACAGACAAAACACAGTGTGGGGGGTCCTGAAGCAGATTTAGAAGCCTGTATTGCTGTAGTGAGGATGCTTTAAGGGAGATGAATGCAAAGACGCAACTTCTATGAGCAGGTTTTAGCCATCCAAAGTGCCAGAAGCATTTCTCAATGTGTCTCAAGTCTCCTGTGTTCACTCAACACTTTGGCATTTTGCATATTGTTGTCTAGCTCTTTCTTAATGCAAGAACATATATGATAACTAGTCGTTCAGACAACTCACCATCTAACTAATTTTGAAAATAACTGCATATCCATAATTGACAGCAGGATGAAATTACAGGGAAAAAACAAAAAAAAACAAATACATTTTTAACAGTCAAGCTCTTTTGCAACAAAATTATGCAATTTTTAAAAACACACCTAAGGTCAAAAGTTCAAACAGTAGAGGGGGAGAGGTTGAGCAGGGGAAATAATCTGGCCGAGTTATTTCTGGCAGCAATAGACGGTTGTGCTCAACCGTGTTACAAGAGCTATCAAGTAATGCAAGGTGAATAAAAGGCAATCCTTGAGGGAACAACTGCACTCATTCAAGCTTTTAGGGTGGTAAGATAACCAGTCATCAATCAGAAACGGACGGTTTTTGTTTTATTTTTGGCTAATCTCTGTTTCAGACTTGCACATACAGATCAAACTCACTGTTCGCTAAGGTTGTGTATTGCCAGCAAAGTCACAATACGATGCACGGCTCTACACTTACTTTTCTTTTTAAGAGCGCTTGTGCTCCTAATTTAAAAAAATTTAGGAGCACCTTCTAATCAGTAATCAAAAATTCTGATAAAAATTTACCTTCCCATTACGAGGTGATATTTGACTCCTTACAGTGATTTACAGGGAATTTAGTTTTTTACCTTTGTAATGGCATTTTTCTAACTTTATTAAAAGTATGTCATCTTTTATGTCAAATTAAAAAATATATATTCATAAGCTTTTTAACATTTCTAATTAAAAAAAAAAGAATAAAAACAAGTAGAATAAGAAGTAGAATAAGAATAAGTTACCAATCTAATAAAATCAGTATTTAAGAAATACATTGAGAGTATTTATACTGAGCTTCAGAGTTGGCACACAACACACAAGTGGCTTATAGGTGTATTTTCAGACATTTAATGAGGCTCAGAGGTCGCATGAGTGCAATTAAATTCAAAGATTCATGTTGAGGTTAAGGTTTTAAATATAAAATTTTGAATATAGAAATATTAAATGATTTAAATAACAGAAAATATACTTTAAAAATTAAACTAAAACTGCCAGCAGGTGGCGGCAAGTCACTGATTTTATCACTGAATCATTCATTCAATTGATTCGTTGAACGGCTGATTCATTCAGGAACGAAGTACGTGACTGTCTTTATGAATGGGTAACTGAATCATTGACTCACTAGATTCGTTTAAAAACGCAGTTCATTCATAAACGAAACACCGCTGTGTTTGAATGGAGATGCGCAGCGGCTCAGCTGTTACTTTGTTTGAAACTATTTTCGTTGACGAAATAGAGCAAAATAAGGCAATTGTGTTGTTGTCAGACAATATAAGTCACTTAATATTAACTTATTGATTTAATACAACAGTTCATTAAACAAGATCACATTTGCAAACTCCCTTAATAATTATTAAAAGCTGTCACTCACAAAACTCCATTATAATCGACGAAGCTCCCTACACTGCACAATGAATCTCTTATTTACACCCTGTCAACACTTTATTTGTTATAATGAGAGGATACGTCTGTGATACATTACTCAATGCTGCAGAAACACGTAAGTACGTTAGAACCTTTGAAGCTCCCTCAGCGCAAACACAAATATGCCGATCGGGTCAGTCGCACAGGTGCTCCTAAATACTATTTCATAGTCGCATGCAGCAGTTTTCAGTCGCAAATGCTGTTAAAAGGGAACTGTTAAAAGAAAGGTAATTCATACATACACAGTCTCTCTCTCTCTCCCTCTGCTTCTCGTAAATGAACATGTGATGAATTACACTTATCTGAGAATAGAATATTGAAGTGGCGATCGCTAAACCGAATGCTTACTGGTGTTTTCAGAAAGCCAGCGCTTTTATCCACAGTGGAGAGAGAGCATGAGCACATGGTTGCCAAAAATAAGTAACACAGCTAGCAGATATTTACGTATCGCGCAAGTGTGAAGCTCTGTTTCGGGGATTATGTCTCTTTATATCAGGCAACCCCGGTTGTGTTCCTCTGCAGCCAGATTAAACCTTGTTTTAGCCTAAATATTATACTCTCTTCAAGATTTTTTTTTTGAAACCTTGCATTTTTCCCACTCCATTTTAAACGCTGTTCTTTTATTCAAATTAAGCACTGTCCACTGCTGCGAACGTGCTGCGGTATCAATACAGAAACAGCTGTATCTATTCCCGTATAGTCAAATAGTATGTGATGATACATCGTCATATCGATGTATTGAACACAGCCCTACTGTTCACTATGCTCAAAATATTGGAAGAAAATCCTAAATACTGAATTGGGTGTTTAAATGAATGTATCTATGAAGGGAACTAACTGCCTTCAAAATTTCAGAAGTTTCTTTTAATCTACCTCCATGTAATGTCTAGTAGAGTTTACAGGGGAACAAGGGTAACCAAGGAAACGCTATATTTCTGCTGTTCCAAAAGCACTACCTACTGTCAAAATTTTTATTCAGCCCATCTACTGTATTCATGCACTTCATGTACTTCTGTGGAACCTTCATGCACTCAACTGTCATAGCTTTCCTTATGTGGCAGGAGTACACTGGGTTACAAAATAACCTTATACAATTTATACACCAGACGGTAGAGTGCATAATGCACAGTATACATTAAGTTAGTTTTATGTTACTAAAAATGATAACTTACCTCTACGACCGTGGTCTTCATCCTAGAAGAACAAACAAAAAAACTACATTCATTTGTATGTTTAAAAATATACAAAACATACAGAATTAAAATATATTAATGATAGAAAGCAGATACTATGAATCCCCAGTGAATGTAGTGATGCACACTACCTTAACATTGGAGTTCACCGCAGACTCCGGTGGGTACACAATGAAGTGACGCAGAGTGAAGCCGAAGCCTTGTGAAGTGCGACGTAGACGAAACATCTTAGGGCCTGGCCAGGAAAATGGCTCTTCCTCCAGCTGAAAGAGCACTCCTGAAGAATCATCCTGATCCACCACATCCTACAGAGAAACAGATGAAATCATGAGGATGAAGAATGGCCACCGAGTACAACAGATCAACAAACCAGATTTCAGTGGACTAAAACTATTAAATGAAATATTATGAATTTAATCATACATTTTATCATATGAAAACATTCATAGGATGGAGAACGCATTGAAAGTTATTTCTGCATATAAAATCGACTGGGGGGTCCAAAGGAAATTAAACTTGTATGACACAGGAAAGACTGAAATCTGACAATTTTAGTGACGTACCATAATGACTTTTTTTTAACAAAACACTGTAAACCAAAAGAAAAGTTTTAATTTAGCTGAAAAACTCAACCAAAACCGAAAATGGTGTTTAACAATCAATGAACTCAATTCATTTAAAACAACACTCAATTAAAAACGGAGTTGTATGGCATTCAAATATTCCATCTGAGACATTTCAAAGCCATTTCGCCCAAAACGTCGTATTTTAAATTAATATTTTCAGTTTCTGAAATTTTATTGCATCACTGGTAATTATTCCACCCAAATCAATGCAAAAAACCCTGATCAGACAGTTTCAACCTGATCAGACTGTCCAGATCGTGCCGTATTGCCACTGACATTCACACCAGTGAATCACTTCTGTGAGCAAGAAAGCACCAAACAAAGCTCTGCTGGCTTTCATAAGCTGAAGCAGTGGACAAACCACACCCCGCAGAAATGGCATAACTTGTTGCACATGAGGTAGAAGGACAAATATGAGACATTAAATTTGACAGTCAAATTCTGTATAGATTGTATAGATGTACAGGTAAATATTTTAAACAGCCAACAGTCAACAAACTAAAGCAGGATCAGCACAAAGATGAATCAGAACTGCTATGACACCATCATCCTTGACTTTTTCCTCTTCATGCTGAGGAACACCCACTGAAGGTTGAGTCAGGACTAGCCTGATGTCATGTCTGCAGGGTGTGGGTGATGTTCTATGCCTCATCTGAAGTTAATTTCCTTGAGGAGCTTATTTAAGGATAACAGAAACCACACACCAGTTCCCCCACAGGGGGAATCAGTGTTCAAATTTGTTTTGCTGGCATTAATAAATCTCATCTATTTGTTTGTGGATTTGTTTGTTTTTCTGAAAATGAAAATGTATTTATTATTTTATTTACTTTAACAAGGCTCAAGTTGTGTAATTTGCTCATGATGATGTCTGAGGCCTATAGATGTTCATTTTAGCCATTTAACCGGTTAACCGACGGTAAGAATTTGACCGATTAATACAATCAGTTAAACGGTTTAAAAAGTCATTTAATTATTTATTTTTTCAGTAATTTATCAAAATATTTTAAACGGTTTGCTGCATGGTTAAAATACGTAACGCGTCTAAAAAAAATTGTTTTTTTAGGGGGGAAAAAACAAGTCGCGTATAAGTCACATTTTATTATTTCATTCAGAAATAGGCCTAATGCCGACGCAAAACGTTTACAAACATTATAATAAACACTGTAAACATAGCTAGGCTATTTTAGTTCCCCTCACTCCGCAACAAATCCTTTCAATTAACAGTATTTAAAAAATAACAAGAATAGCAATATATAGCAATATAAATGGCAAGCCAAAACGAATTAAATTAGGTTAAAACTAAACTGAAACCAACGTTGGGTCTCTCATTCCACACAAAATCAAACGTTTCCTTATTCGCGATGTATTTGAATGGCAAATTGTTATTTATTATGTACTTCACTCGTGTTCCAATATCCACGTAAAACAAAATGTTTTGTGTAACATCACGGCGGTACAGTGATAACACTTAACCTTAACGGATTTTACTACATAGTTTTTTTCTCCATATGTTTGACTGACTGTATTTTATTATGATAATGACTAATAACTGTGCGCGCATGCGGCGCAGGCGCAATCACTTAAATTTTTTTCCTTCTAACAGTGGAAGAAACTACTCCTTTTAGTCCTAAAGATAATCAGAATTGTAAAAGGTTTGCCTTTATGGGTACATTCCCAATAAAAACAAATCTTTGTGCTTTTGTAAAATAAGCCTAAAGAAAAATAGGATGCCGCTTTCTGCCGTCGGTTTCCTTTCGCGCAGCACAAAAATGAACCGAAACTCTGCATAGGCTACTTGTTTTTCTTAAATTTTCTTAATTTATAATTTAAGTAAAAATGTTTCTTGTACAGGCCTATATATATCTTTATATATATATATATCTAGCTTTATTATGTTTTTCTCCGCTCGCAGAAGCGCTGCAGGTGCATGATGTGATATGATGACCAGGTGAATCCTCATGTTCTGTTGTTTGTTGCTTTTTGCACATGTAAAATTAATCCCCGGGAAACAAATGTTAGTATTTTTAACGGGTCACAGACACTTATCCTTTCTAATTTAATTCAATTCTAATTTAAAATAATCTTGTCGGTTAACGGTTAACAATCGGTTAACGAGCGTTGGTTGTCGGTTAGGAAAAATAACCGAAATGAACATCCCTACTGAGGCCTTGAGCTTCATATGGCTCTTCGTTTCCAGAGTGGGCATTCTGCTTCCGGCATACTCTGCTCTGTTTATTGAGTATTTATAGCCTCACACCTACCCGATATTCACACCCTACCCTTTACTGCCAAACCTCTTCCAGAAGAGGTGTGAGACATCAAATATTCCTTCTCCATAAACACAATCTGGCATATGAATCGCCACAACTGGTAATGCAAACTGGTTCACAAACACATGACCATGTTGTGTGAAGAAGGGACCATATACCAACTGATTTTTAATACAGGTTATAAGTGTCTTACAACCGATACGCAGATAATTTTTTTTTTTGCCACAATAACTTTATTAGAATACAAAAATAAAAACATATGAACATAATAACAGTAATACTAATAATTATTACTGTTGTTGTTGCGGTTTAACAATCTGACAAACTGATTATCATCTTCGCTTTCTACTAGGGGTGTGTAATGGTACGCGTATTTGTACCAGAATTGTCGTTATAACCTTTTCAAACGAATACAGTTTAATGACTGCATGTGGAAATATTCTGTGCATTTACAAACTACAAGTTCTCCCCCTTGGATGGAACGTACTATTTATACAGATGTACAGTATTTTGATGTGGCAAACACATCTGAAAAATAGCGGATGACACAGAGTGAGCTACTGTAGAAAAGTGCATGATATAAGTTGTCCTAAATATGAAGACAAGCTTTATATTAAGTAGGGATGGGCATTTTTCTAAAATATTTTATTTGAATATTTGGGCTCATTAAAAAAAAATTAATATTTGAATATCTGTTTATTTAAATGACACTTAATGAGAAAGCTTATGATTAGACATTTTACACAACAATGTTACGTTATGTTTATATAAGCAGACCGTGCAAATTACAGCACAGAACATACATACACTCGAGTCGCACTATGTTTATTGTGTTTATAATAATATCCACATGCTCGGGTGAAAGTTGGCTCTTCAGTCTGATAACAATGGACCCTTTTCACAAGACTGTGATGACGCGTTTAACGGTCATCAGCATCGTAAATCCTCGAATGTTTTTCATATTTGTATTTTTTTTTTTTATGTATCTACATTTATAACATTATTCTTTGTATTATATCACCTTTGCATCAAATTACAAAAAAACAGTTAACGCTAATGCGAGGGTGTTTCTAATGCAGCGTCTATGGGAGGAATGGTTATCAGTCTCTCTCAATTTTTTTCCTTTTATTGAAAGTCATGAACACACTATCATGGAGTTTTTCTTTTGCTATTTGAGCAAATGGGAATGCAAAAAATATATTTGTGGTACTCTCCCATTCACTGCTATTCAAGTTAACCCAACTATGACGACTTCCGCTGCTGAGAAACCCGGAAATGTGAAAAAGATCCATAAGAACGCACGCCGACACAGGCATTCCAGAGAGACACAAAGATAATGTGTGCTAGGGCTGGGCGATATGACGATATTATCGTATATCGACAATGTCTTGTAAGTATTGCGATGTTGATGTCAATAGTCAGGTAACAGACGATTATCGACATTATCGGGAAAAATTACATGATAAACCTAGTAAGTTGTAAAAAATATTTTACATAGCCCCATAGTCACCATACAGGTCTTTTTGTATGCAAGAATGAAATAATTTAGTAGGAGGGTTGGGCATCGAAAAGCTATTCCAATTTCGGAAATCAGAAAAGGAATCAAATTACTTGTTACAAAATTATACATTTCAATTCTGCTTCTCGATTTCTTTATGCGCTTTTATTGTGATTTCAAAAGATTCAACTGCAAGAAGACGAAATAGAACTCACTTCTGCACTCACGCGCTGTTTTCTGTGCTGCGCACACACACACACAAAACGCACGCACAAAAGCCGCCTCTTATATACGCGAACACTGGACTGAGCTCTCTTTCTCGCATTCTTACACATTCGATTGGACAAATACACACAGAATTGTATCAAAATATCCCATAAATACAATCGGTTATGTCTTAAGTGAATGTAAAGAGCTGAGAAAGAGAACAAGGGTGTATTGGATCCGTGCACTGACAGCAGCCACTGCCGCCAGTCATTAACATTAATCAAAGAACGAAAGAAAAGAAAATCCCTCACTGATCTTGACTGAATCACTTTTGTAACCTCAGTTTATATTTTATTTGCCTGTTGTTCGATCGAAAAGCTATTCCAATTTCGGAAATCAGAAAAGGAATCAAATTACTTGTTACAAAATTATACATTTCAATTCTGCTTCTCGATTTCTTTATGCGCTTTTATTGTGATTTCAAAAGATTCAACTGCAAGAAGACGAAATAGAACTCACTTCTGCACTCACGCGCTGTTTTCTGTGCTGCGCACACACACACACAAAACGCACGCACAAAAGCCGCCTCTTATATACGCGAACACTGGACTGAGCTCTCTTTCTCGCATTCTTACACATTCGATTGGACAAATACACACAGAATTGTATCAAAATATCCCATAAATACAATCGGTTATGTCTTA